AGAAGAGTCGACTGCAGTATGCCAAAAGCCATGTGGACAAACCACAAAAGTTGTGGGATAGTGTTCTGTGGACTGATGAAACAAAATTAGAACTGTTTGGGCCCATGGATCAACGCTATGTTTGGAGGAGGAAGAACAAGGCCTATGATGAAAAAGAACACCTTGCCTACTGTGAAGCATGGTGGAGGGTCAATCATGCTTTGGGGCTGTTTTGCTTCTGCAGGTACAGGGAAGCTTCAGCGTGTGCAAGGTACCATGAATTCTCTTCAGTACCAGGAGATATTGGATGGAAACGTGATGCAGTCCGTCACACACACTGAGGCTTGGGGAGACGTTGGACCTTTCAACAGGACAATGATCCCAAGCATACCTCCAAGTCCACTAGAGCATGGTTGCAGAGGAAAGGCTGGAACATTTTGGAGTGGCCATCGCAGTCACCAGACTTAAATCCGATTGAGAACCTCTGGTGGGACTTAAAGAAAGCAGTTGCAGTGCGCAAGCCTAAGAATGTGACTGAACTGGAGGCCTTTGCCCATGAAGAATGGGCGAAGATACCCGTAGATCGCTGCAAGACACTTGTGTCAAGCTATGCTTCACGTTTAAAAGCTGTTATAACTGTAAAAGGATGCTGTACTAAGTACTAAGATTGAATGTCACTTGGGGGTTGAATAAAACTGATAATGCTGTGAGCACAGAAAAGACATTTGTGGTTATTTCATTATAACTGTTATGTTATATTTGTCTGACCTACAAGTGATTAATGTAAATGTAAGCAAGATGACTGAATGATCAAAAGCAATGTCAAACTGGCCAAAACACTCAATTTCAGTGGGGGTTGAATAATTTTGGACACAACTGTACATACACATACTAGGGACAATTTAGACTGGAGCCAATTAACCTACCAGCATGTCTTTGGAGTGTGGGAGGAAACTGGAGTACCTGGAGGAAACCCACGCAGGCACAGGGAGAACATGCAAACTCCAGACAGGCGGTGCCATCGTTGGGATTCACACTGACGACCCTAGCACTGCCAGAGCAATGCACATTTTTTTCCGCATTTTTGGAACACGCAGGTGTAAATGGGGCCTAAAATTGGAGCACACGCACTCCCAATAAACTCTATGAAGCCAAAATGCACAATTCTGCTCCAAGAAGTTTGTATATTATTTTTGGGCAGCAATTGACACAACGCTCCATGGGAATGGGCCCATTAGGGAATAAGGAAACTTTTTATCTTGAGTGTTGCCATCTTTTGGGCATTGTGTGACAAAAACACTCAGGTGTGAATGGGGGCATAGCCATCCCTGGAATACAGGTAGACATGAAGTAGCTGTAAATAGGCTGCAGGAGATCAGAAGCACTTAGATGCAACAATGGAAGAACGAAAAGGTCATTTCTAAACATAATACACAAAAAACATAGCAATTGTTCATGATACACACTGCTTTAGCAAAACTACATTTTATCCAGTTTAGGTTCAATTCTATTTAAATAATCATTCTTGTGCTTTCATTTGTCATGGCACTTATGACCTGGGGTGTGGAGGAGATGCATGCATTGCCTAAATATTCTCTGCTAAAAAGTATCTATCTTCTCCATATTAGAAGATTGGGAAGAAAGGGAGTATTCCAATCAGGGCTGGGTCTATGAGGGTGCTGGGTGGGCTGTGCCCCCCAGATTTAAGTTGAGCCCCCCTCCAGGTCTCTGAGAGTACATACCCTGATCCATGAGCCAGTCTTGTGGGGGCAATTAATGTAAAGGGGCACTTTGATTTAGATACCTGATGTAAAGGAGTACTCTGATGGGGTAACTGATTATATGTTAGGGGGAATTGTGATGGGGACAGTTGAGGTAAGGAGGCACTGTGATGGGGACAGTTGAGGTAAGGAGGCACTGTGATGGGGACAGTTGAGGTAAGGGGGCATTGTGATGGGACAGCTGATGTAAGGGGGCACTGTAATGGGGACAGTTGAGGTAAGGGCACACTGTGATGGGGACAGTTGATGTAAGGGGGGACTCTGATGGGGACAGTTGATGTAAGGGGGCACTGTGATGGGGACAGTTGATGTAAGGGGGCACTGTGATGGGGACAGTTGATGTAAGGGGGGCACTGTGATGGGGACAGTTGATGTAAGGGGGCACTGTGATAGGGACAGTTGATGTAGGGAGGCACTGTGATGGGGACAGTTGATGATGGGGGCACTGTGATGGGGACAGTTGATGTAAGGGGGCACTGTGATGAGGACAGTTGATGTAAGGGGGCACTGTGATGGGGACAGTTGATGTAAGGGGGCACTGTGATGGGAACAGTTGATGTAAGGGGACACTCTGATGGGGACAGTTGATCTAAGGGGGCACTGTGATGGGGACAGTTGATGTAAGGGTGCACTGTGATGGGGACAGTTGATCTAAGGGGGCACTGTGATGGGGACAGTTGATGTAAGGGGGCTCTGTAATGGGGACAGTTGATGTAAGGAAGCACTCTGAAGGGACCCTGTTGTAAGGAGGCACTCTTGACAGGGACCCTAATGTAAAGGGGCATTCTGATGAGGACGCTGATGTAAAGGGGGAACTCTAATGGGGATCTTGATGCAATGGGGGACTAATGGAAACCCTAATTTAGAGGGGGACTTTGATGGGGACACCTGATATAAGGGGGTACAGACTCAGTTTAATCACCCTAATCCAATGACAGCCTAATACATACTAGTGTTTCCCAGGTCATGACACAGTGTGACAGACTGTCAGTGACTCACACACAGTGTTGACATTATGTCCCTGACTTTTCTTTATGGCACCCCAAGATCAGAAAGGCTAGATCCAGCCCTAATTCCAGTAGGAGATGCTGGTACCTATACAATCCCTATATTAGATGGTGTAGTCTGATAGCTGGCATGACCCCTGGGTGCCACGTGTGCTGACACTCACCTGCAGCAGGTAGATGAGGCTTTAAAGCCCCTGGGGGCACTCTGCGTATGTCTCGGTGATAATAGAGATCTGTGATCACTCTCCTGTGTATCTGCAGACTCCAGCAGTGTGTGATTGTTTGGCCGGTTGCTAGGTAACCATTGTGACGTGTGCAGCCTGTTGGGCCAACAAACCCTGTACACAAATTAAAGGAGGAAGCCTTTGCTATAACCTGAAACAAACTAAGAAGATGAAGATTTAAAGTACAAAAGTGTTGTCCGGAGCTAACAAAATTTTCTTTACCTGCGTTTTTCTATAGTGAAGACAGGAAAATCAGATTTCAGATGCTACTACTTTTTAGTCATAAATTGTCTCGATAGGAAAATCTGTTGATGTCTAGGCAAAGTGCAGGAGTTCATTAAAAATGTAAGAAAAGCCATAGCTGCCATGGTTTCCTTCTGAAAAAGCTAGTTGCCTGGCTGTTATGCTGACCCCCCCTATAAAAATTACACAGATAATTGCTGCCCTGGTACCAGTCTGTACCTGTATACGATCCACCATTTATGTACACTGAATTTGAAAATGGGAATGTATACTATTTTGCAAATTGCTGCTCATGTATGCACCTTTTCCTTTTGTTTCAATAAAATGTTCTTGATTAAAAAAAAAAAAAAAAAAAAAGTACATAGATAAGGTCTTGTAACTTTTCTCACATTTTCTTGATCTCCATGCTGGAACTGGGGTTAGTGACTCAGAAGGAAGCCAAAAAACCAGCATGTTCATTCATCAGCTGCTGAACATTGCCAAACATTCACAATACAGAGTACAAATAATTGTTTAGAGTCCTTACCAGCAGATACTGTACATTTTAAGCCCTGATGAAGAGGACATTATGTGGTCCCCGAAATGCGTTGGGCATAGCACCTATTACACGTTTGGAATAAAACCTCATTTTGGAATCTAACACTTTGGATTTTCAGATTTAAATATCATTTATATAGTCTGACGTTACTGTTCCAGTTTCTCAGTGCAGGGGGGCAGCCCACTCTTTACCTAGTCGCCATTGGGATACCACCAGCACATTTTTGTCAATAGTACTAAAGTATATCTACTTAACCACTTCAAGTCCGGACACACTTTCACCCCTTCCTGTCCAGGCTAATTTTCAGCTTTCAGGGCTATCACACTTTGAGGGACAAATACTTAGTCATGCAACACTGTACCCATATGACATTTTTGTCTTTTTGAGACAGATAGAGCTTTTGTTTCAGTGGTATTTGATCACTACTGGTTCAGACCAAAACTTTTGAAAAAAAAAAAAAATTTTGCCTAATTTTTGTTATAAAATTTTGCAAATAAATAATTTTTCGGCATAAATTTAGGCCAAAATGTATTCTGCTATATTTTTGGGGGTAAAAATAACCCAAAAACTTGTAAATAATAATTTAATCTGTGTGAAAGTTATAGAGTCTACAAACTATGGGATATATATCTGAAAATTGATCAGTTGAGGCCCTAAAATGCCAGACGCTGGTATGATGTATGGCAGTGATCAGGACGCTGGCATGAGGTATGGCGGTGATCAGGACGCTGATATATCGGTGATCAGGACACTGGTATGTGGTAATGAGATCATCTGGACACTGGTATGCGGTATGGCGATCATCTGGACGCTGGTATGGGGTATGGCGGTGATCAGGACACTGGTATGGTGGGGGTTAAGGGCACTGGTATGACATATGGGGTAATCAGGATGCTGGTATGGGGTGGTGATCAGGATGCTGGTATGGGGTATGGTGGTGATCAGTATACTGGAATGGGGTATGGCAGTGATCAGGATACTGGTATGGCAGTGATCAGGATACTGGTATGGCAGTGATCAGGATACTGGTATGGCAGTGATCAGGATACTGGTATAGGGTATGGGGTGATCAGGATGCTGGTGTGGGGTATGGTGGGGATACTGGTATGGTGGTGATCAGGATACTGGTATGGCAGTGATCAGGATGCTGGTATGGCGTGTGTGGTGATCAGGATGCTGGTGTGGGGTATGGTGGGGATACTGGAATGGTGGTGATCAGGATACTGGTATGGGGTATGGCAGTGATCAGGATACTGGTATGGGGTATGGCAGTGATCAGAATTCTGGTATGGCGTATGTGGTGATCAGGATGCATGTGTGGGGTATGGTGGGGATACTGGTAATGGTGTTGATCAGGATGCTGTTATGGTGTATGGCAGTGATCAGGACACTGATATGGGGTATGTCAGTGATCAGGATACTGGTATGGGGTATGGGCGGTGATCAGGATACTGGTATGGGGTATGGTGGTGATCAGGATACTGGTATGGGGTATGGTGGTGATTCAGGACGTTGGTATGGTGTATGGCAGTGATCAGGACACTGATATGGGGTATGGCAGTGATCAGGACACTGATATGGGGTATGGCAGTGATCAGGACACTGGTATGGGGTATGGCAGTGATCAGGACACTGGTATGGGGTATGGCAGTGATCAGGACACTGATATGGGGTATGGCAGTGATCAGGACACTGATATGGGGTATGGCAGTGATCAGGACACTGATATGGGGTATGGCAGTGATCAGGACACTGGTATGGGGTTTGGCAGTGATCAGGACACTGATATGGGGTATGGCAGTGATCAGGACACTGATATGGGGTATGGCAGTGATCAGGACACTGATATGGGGTATGGCAGTGATCAGGATACTGGTATGGGGTATGGCACTAATCAGGACACTTACTGGTATGGGGTATGGTACTGATCAGGGTACTGTTATGGGGTATGGTGGTGATCAGGACACTGGTATGGTGTATGTCGGTGATCAGGACACAAGTATGGTGTATGGTGGTTTTTTTTGTGTGCAGTGGGATAGGTGACAGGGGCTGACTGCATTGTTTATTGTCCCTACACTGGGGCAGTAATCAGAGACACCCGGCTGCTGGCTAGTACTACAGACTATGAGTGTACAAGCAGCCTGACAGGCTGCTGTACACTCACACAGGCTGCATTATTGCTTCTCTCTGCTCTCACCCTAAGAGCATAGAGAAGCAATCTTTAGTTTCAGTTTCTAGTGTTTACTATGTAATTTCTGTGACTGGACACAGCAATCACATGGTAAAATACCATGTGATTGTCCAATGTTATCCTCTGTGTACGGGCAACAGGTGCGCACTCTGTGATACCTTAGCCCACATCGGCAATGCTTCCCATTCACCGTTTATAGGCTATGGGCAGACAAGAAGAGGTTAAGGCTCTGTGACCCAGTTGCCTGCATCTTAGCAACCAATGACACACAGCCGCACAGCACAGTATGAATGGTTGCTGGAGCAATGTCGACTGGGCCATAATGTCTCATTGGTTGTCTTTTGGGGGTAATGAGGAGGGGACAAAAGTGGCAATTAAAGTAGACACGCGCCTGCCTCTCCCTACTTTATCTAAAATTACAAAAAGAAAAAGTTTAGGCTTTAGAGACACATTAAAACATTTATGGTCATGGAAACAAAATTAGGCAGAACAGGGTTAATAGGCGATTGTGTGACAATCAATATTCCATACACCTGGCCCTGAGCCCTTGACTTAAACAATTAGAACCAAAAATGCCCATGCAGGATGCCTGTAGATAAAGACAAACTGTGCAGCTTTGACTACAGTTGAATAATATTCTTGCTATAGGTGTAGGCTATTTATGTACCACCTGAAGCCTGGCTGAAAAATTCCCAGAAATGGGCCCCCCTTCATTCCATCCTGCTTTTTTTGCTAGAATGTTGCTAAGACACTGCCGGTTATTACTGATTGCCTCCATCACAGGAGCAAGCTCTCAAACCAACAAACACGAGTGGCCTACTATTTCCATTACAGAAACACTGAACTCAGGATCGGAGATTGAACCTGTGACAGTGGGAACTCCCAGAGATTTTATCATCCCATCCTGCCTTGTTGCTAAGACGTTGCTAAGACAATCCCAGTCATTACTGATTGCCTCCATCACAGAAGAGAGCTCTCAAACCAACAAACACGAGTGGCCTACTATTTCCATCACAGCAACACTGAACTCAGGATCGGAGATTGAACCTGTGATAGTGGGAACTCCCAGAGATTTTATCATCCCATCCTGCCTTCTTGCTAAAACGTTGCTAAGACACTCCCCAGTCATTACTGATTGTCTCCATCACAGGAGAGAGCTCTCAAACCAACAAACACGAGTGGCCTACTATTTTCATTACAGCAACACTGAACTCAGGATCGGAGATTGAACCTGTCATAGTGGGAACTCCCAGAGATTTTATCATCCCATCCTGCCTTGTTGCTAAGACGTTGCTAAGACAATCCCAGTCATTACTGATTGCCTCCATCACAAGAGAGAGCTCTCAAACCAACAAACACGAGTGGAATACTATTTCCATTACAGCAACACTGAACTCAGGATCGGAGATTGAACCTGTGATAGTGGGAACTCCCAGAGATTTTATCATCCCATCCTGCCTTGTTGCTAAGACGTTGCTAAGAGACTCCCAGCTGTTGCTAAGATGTTGCTAAGGGACTCCCAGCTGTTCACCTCCACCATCACAGGAGCGGGCTTGCAAATGCTGAACTCAAAGGTATTGCGTCAGGGATAAGAGAGCCCATGTGAGCGGGTTTGAATCAGAGAGAGAGCTTGCTCCTTTTGATGGTGAAGGTAAACAGTAGGAGCTAGAAGTGCCTTAGCAACGTCCCTAGCAACTAGGCAGGATAGGGGATGCCATCACTGGGAGTTTTTTCAGCCAGGTTGCAGCCATAGCTGCAGAGTTTGTTTTTATCTACAGGCACCCCATACCTGTCTAGGCATTTTTTTTGGTATGAGTTAACTAACCCTTTAAGTCTCTCTACGGATGTTTCTTTTCTTAGAACAGTAAAGCTGTATTTTACTAGATTCTCCCTCTAATTACCCAGAGTAAACAGCATTCTAGAAAGTAATGCTGGACCATTATTTCCCACAATCCCCGGGGAAGTAGTCAGACCTCTTCTCCATCACCCAGCAGCAATTTGTCTATAAAGAGAAGGCATCATGCAGCCTCACAGGCACTATACAGTCCTGAGAATAAACCTAATGTTCCTGCTTAGTCTCCTTGATGGATGTGCAATGCCTTTATTCTCACAGCTCCACGCTTTATAGTGCCGTGTTACAATGCAGCGGATGCCAGCTTGCCGCCTTTGATGGTGGGGAACACAGAATTGTTTTTGAACTTGGAAATCAAAGGTTTGTTGGGCTACAGAGGCCTGCTGCACAAGAGGCAGCGGAAACAGCTCTCAGAGAGCGTGTTATCTCAATCAAGCCGGAGCTCGGGTACCAGATGAAAAGACTGCAAATCTGACTACATAGCTGCAGGTACCAGTACAGCGGAGTATAGGAGCGATGTGCCAAAGGGGTTGTTGTAGGGAACAGGTGAGCATTTTCTGTTTCTTCTTCTTCAATTGTTAACTTTTAATGAGGAACTTCGATCTGATTGAAAATGAAGAAAAACGGCAAGGCGGTAAAGACATCAACTCTAGAACTCGAGCCAAAACTTTTGTTCTTGCTGGTCGTGTCTTCCTTGTCAGGGATCTATCCTTACTCCCTTTTCTGGCTGACATTTGTCAAATAAATAGGAAGTTGGAAGATTTGCCCTCACTTCCTTTTCAGTCTGATTCCTGTCAAATAAGCAGGATGTGGGGAGATTTACCCTTGCTTCCTTTTAAATGTGACACCTGTCAAATAGGCAGGAAATGTGGAGATTTCCTCTCTTTTTTTAAGTTGATGTCTGTTAAATATACAGGCAGTGGGGAGATTTGCTCTAATTTTTTTAGGCCCATGCCTGTTACATAGACGGGAGGTGGGGAGATTTACTCTCTTTTTTTTCAGGCTGATGCCTGTGAAATAGACAGGCAGTGGGGAGATTTACTCTCACTTCCTTTTCAGTACAACACCTGTCAAATAGATAGGAAGTGGGGAGATTAACCTCATTTCATTTCATAATTCTGTATGTTTAATGGAGAGGCAGTGGGGAGATTTAATCTCACTTCCTTTTCAGTCCGACAACTTGCAAATAGACAGGAAGTGGAGAGATTTACTCTCATTTCTTTTTCATGCTGACATCTGTGACACAGACAGGAAGTGGGGAGATTTACTCTATTTTTTTCAGGTTGATGCCTGTTAAATAGATGGGAAGTTGGGAGATTTACTAATTTTTTTCAGGCTGCCACCCGTGAATTAGGCAGGAATTGGGGAGATTAACCTCATTTCTTTTTGGAATTCTGCCTGTTTAATGGACAGGCAGTGGGGAGATTTAGTCTCATTTCTTTTTTTTTTATGCTGACATCTGTGACACAGACAGGAAGTGGGGAGATTTACTCTAATTTTTTTAGGCCTATGCCTGGTAAATAGATGGGAGGTGGGGAGATTTACTCTTTTTTTTCAGGCTGATGCCTGTGAAATAGACAGGCAGTGGGGAGATTTAGTCTCACTTCCTTTCCAGCCCAACACCTGTCAGATAGACCGGAAGTGGGGAGATTAACCTCATTTCTTTTCAGAATTATGCCTGTTTAATGGACAGGCAGTGGGGAGATTTAGTCTCACTTCCTTTTCAGCCCAACACCTGTCAAATAGACAGAAAGTGGGGAGTTTAACCTAATTTCTTTTCAGAATTCTATCTGTTTAATGGACAGGCAGTGGGGAGATTTAGTCTCACTTCCTTTTCAGTCCGACACCTGCCAAATAGACAGGAATTGGGGAGATTTACTCTCATTTCTTTTTCATGCTGACATCTGTTGCATAGACAGGAAGTAGAGAGATTTATTCACATTTTTTTCAGGCTGATGCCTGTGAAATAGACAGGGAGTGCGGGGATTTACTCTCACTTCCTTTTCAACCCAACACCTGTCAAATAGAGAGGAAGTAGGAAGATTAACCTCATTTATTTTCGTAATTCTGCCTGTTTAATGGATAGACACTGGGAAGATTTAGTGTCACTTGCTTTTCACTCCGACACCTGTCAAATAGACAGGAAGTGGGGAGATTAACCTCATTTTTTTTTCAGAATTCTGTCTGTTTAATGGACAAGCAGTGGGGAGATTTAGTCTCACTTCCTTTTCAGTCCAACACATGTCAAATAGACAGGAAGTGGGGAAATTTACTCACATTTTTTTCATGCTGATGCCTGTGAAATAGACAGGGAGTGCGGGGATTTACTCTCACTTCCTTTTCAACCAACACCTGTCAAATAGAGAGGAAGTGGGAAGATTAACCTCATTTATTTTCGGAATTCTGCCTGTTTAATGGATAGACACTGGGAAGATTTAGTGTCACTTGCTTTTCACTCCGACACCTGTCAAATAGACAGGAAGTGGGGAGATTAACCTCATTTTTTTTTCAGAATTCTGTCTGTTTAATGGACAGGCAGTGGGGAGATTTAGTCTCACTTCCTTTTCAGTCCAACACATGTCAAATAGACAGGAAGTG